CCCCAACCTCGTGGGCAGGCAAGGCGGGTTTCACGATGCACGCTGGGGCGGCCGCAGCCACGGGCGACGGGGCCCTGGAACACTCTGGAGGAGTGGCAATGCTGTCGCGGTCGTCGGTTGGGGCCAGGTCCTTGGGGGAGGCTTTCCCTGAGAGAGTGAGGCATCGCTTGGTCGCCCAGCTGGTTTCAGTGACGTCGGATGTCCAAATGGTTTTCGCCTCGGCCTACCTGGCGACGAACGAAGGCCTGGGCCCGAGAAACCAGGACCTACTGGCAATCTTGGGCGAGTTCATTGCGGCATCGGAGTGGCCCGTGGTGGTCGGCGGCGACTGGAACATTCCTGTGGGCGAGATCGTGGCCTCTGACTGGCCAGGCCGTTGGCATCTGCAGTCTGTGGCGCCTGAAGATGGCACCTGCAATAGCAATGTCTTCGACTACTTTATGATCTCGCAGTGTCTCCTCCCGTACGTTTTTAAAGTCCAGGCGCTTTTGGATGCGCCCGGGGGCCCGCACGTCGCGGTTCCCCTGGAGCTCAAAGGCCTATCGGGCCCTGCTAAAGTGCGGCAGCGAGTTGTGCCCTGTGGTTTTCCGCTCGACCCACCCACCGATCCAGATGGATTGATGGCCCCAGGGCCCGACCTCTCAGGTAGTGTCTGGTCTTGGGAGGCTGGGCCCCTTCCGCCGAGGCCCCTCGAGGCGGCCAGGAATGATTTAAAGCTGCAGAAGATTTCTTGATCAGCTCGCACCAGATCCCAGCAGGGGACGCGGCCAAGTACTCAGGCCGAGCGCAGGGATGCCAATTTCAACTCATGCCGCTCCGTGCCGCCTGGGGCCGCGAGCTTGCGCGTCGCTCGACGGCCAGCACGGCGAAGTGGCTGCAGCTCAGACGAGTGCTGTCGCAGCTGTTAGGGCTGACCAAAAAGAAAGGGGGTCGGACGGGGGTGACTTGGGGGGGGCTCTTGGAGGTTCTCGATCAGGTCAGCCCCTGTTTGACTTCGGCGGGGGCCGAGGCGCTCAGCTCTCTCTCTGGGCGAGAACTGTTGGAAGGTCTGCAGGATCCCGACAAGTGCCCAGGCCTCGCTGCCGCCCTTGCCCAGGAGGTAGGTACCAGGCTAGCCGGCGATGCGTCCCAGGCCAGGCAGGCCTGGCACGAATTCGCTCAGTCTTCAGTGCTCAGGGGCGGGCGCATCGCTCACAGGTTCAGCAAGGGCCCCAAGCCTGCGCCTGAGCCCGTCCTTGGGCCCGCGGAAGAGGGGGGGATTCCTCTGGCGGGCCACGCGGCCCTCGGCAGGCTTTTGGAGGAGTGGGTCCCGATTTGGACCCAGGCCTCGAGGGCCAGTGAAGAGCACCCGTCGCCTTGGGAGGTCTCAAGCTTTCTAGAGCCGATCTCGCCCGATGATTTACGTTCCGCGTGCAAGCGCTTCGCCAGAGGCTCGGCTTTGGGTTGGGGCGGCTTCCACCCGAGGCTGGTGCTCCAACTGCCCCCTGAAGTGGTGCAGCGATTTGCCGACCTATTGAATGCATGGGAACCAGATCCCAGGGTGTCGACACTCTGGATGATCCTGATCATTTTTCTCGACAAGCCCACAGGCGGAGTGAGACCGATCGGATTGCTCCCTCTGCTCGCTCGGGTCTGGTCCAAGGTCCGGCAGAGGGTGTGCAGCGCCTGGGAGAGGGAGAACACTTCGGACCTTTTCCGGGGCCAGTCCAGGGCCACCTCTTGTGACAAGAGTGCGTGGCTCCACAACGCTCTTTCGGCGTTCGCCAGGTTGCAGCACCTGGCGTCGGGCTCGGCCTTTTTGGATTTGAAGAAGTTTTATGAACACATCTCTCACCTAGAACTCAGGTCCGCGGCGGCCCACGTGGGCTTCCCTGACAGCCTCTTGAGGGGCTTGTGCTGCGTTTATCGGGCCGAACGGAGGGCCGTTTTCCAGGGAGTCACGGGCAAACCTCTGGAACCGAACGGCACGGTGGTAGCAGGGCGCTCCTGCGCGACCTCCTTGGCCAAAGTGTTGCTTCTGGTAGTTTTGAAGCGGGCGCACCTAGAGGCTCCGATAGTCAAGATCAAGAACGTTGTAGACGACGTGTCTTCCCATGCTGTCGGGGGCGAGGCCACGGTGTCAGGGCAGGTCGCCAGGGCCTGCAACTTGGTTGCTGCCGATGTGCAGGCACGTAAGCTGCCGATCTCGTGGAGCAAGGCTGGAGTGCTGGCCAACACCAACAACCTTGCGTCTGCCTTGATGGCTGAGCTGCCCCCACAGCTGGCTGCCAGCCGAGTGTCAGCTCACAGAGACCTGGGAGGGGATGCGTCGGACAACGGTTTCGTCGAGTCTCCACGCACCTCGATCGGTACCTTGCAGCAAAGAGGCGCGCGATCAAGCTGCGCACGCTGCAAGGAGCTGGCGCGACCATTTTTCGCATCCACCGTTCAGGCCCCACGGCAGTTGCCATGTGGGGCTCCTGTGTCCATGGCCTAGGAGATACGAGGCTCCACGGGCTGCGAGTGCTGGCGGCTCACGCGGAAGGCAGATTCCCGAGGGGATCCTCGGTCGGCCTGTTCCTGGGCAGTGGGCGTAAAGGTTGGAGGCGAGATCCGCTGATTTTAACGACGTCTGACTCGATACGCCAGTATTGCGAAGTGCTCTCCGACGGACAGCTCTCGAGGGCGGTCCTAGATGAGCTGGTGATTGCTGGCAACAAGAATGCTGCTTCCGAGCGGCCATGGGTAACCTGCAGGGACCCAGTGGCGGCCGCGGCCATAACAGCCCAGATGGTGGGATGGCGGTTTCGGGACGCGGTGGCGTTGGTGGACGATCGGGGGGTCGATTGGGATCTGCGATTTTACTCGCCAGCCTGTATCGCGGCTCAGATTTCGTTCGCGGCCCGACGCGCCTCAGACGTCCGAGCGCTGAGCCTGCGGGACGATGCCTGGGCCACAGACGTGTGCTGGAGGCCCCTGCTTGAGCTTGTGTTTTGTGACTGGACGGAGGCCTGGGGCCGCCACGAGCAGAAGTCTCTTCGGGGCTTGGTTTCAGGGCCCCACTGGACCCAGGGCAGGTTTCACGACCAGGAGCCGTCTCCCCCAGAGGTGTGCCAACTGTGTGAAGGAGCCCGGGGAACCATGTTTCACCGTTGCTGTGCCTGCCCTGCGCACGAAGCATTTCGTCGGGACTGCATGCCCACGGGGTTGGCCAGATCGGTCGACAGAATGAAGCAGGGCCCGCCAGCTTGGAAGGAAAGGTTCGCGAAGGGATTGTTTCCTGAGCCTGGCCAGTGCGCGGGGCGACCACCTTTCAATCCAAGCTGGGGGTTGCGGGTGCACGGCGCCCTCCAGCTGCCAATCCTCCTGGAAGGAGGGTATGTCTTCACTGATGGGTCGGGCCTTGACCAGCACCACCCATCCCTCAGAGTTGCGGGCTGGAGCGTGGTGCTGCATGACTCCGACAGGTGCTATGTCGGAGCGATTTTTGGAGCAGTGCCGCCTGACATCGGCATCACTGGCACGGCCAGAGATGGCGAAGACTATGATATGCTGATGTGTGCCCAGAATGTTTTGGGTCAGTTCACGGTGCGGGCCGACTGCAAGGGTGCACTAAGTTGCTGCCAGTCGCCCAGATTGTCGACTTCGGAGTGCAGCCCGCGAGCCCACCTGTGGAGGCGGGTGCACGCGCGCGAAGATTTCCGTGCTCGGCCGCTTGAGCATGCCAAGGCCCACACGTCGGCCGCCAGCGTAGAGAGGGACCTGATTTCGCCGTTCGACAGAGACTGCAACAACGCTGCGGATAGCTTCGCCAAGCGGGGAGCGGCCCAGGCCAGAGCCGCCGTCTGTGACGTAGAGCTGGTTGAAGGATGCCAGTTGATTGCCAAGCTGGCGGCCAAGTGTTCGGCCCAGCTCGCGGCCTCGATGGCCTCGGCGGAAATTCGGGACAGTGTCGGGGTCGAGTACCTCAAGGAAAATGACTTGGGGCTTTGGCACTTCCACGGTTTGTCGGTCCCTGAGGCGGAGTCCACGGTTGCGGCCCCCCCTCCCTCTGAGCCTCCTGCTCGTGCTGCTGCGGCGGAACCTCCAGGGCCCGCTTCAGAGGACCCCGACTGGCTGCTCGACAAGGGCGTTCAGCCCTGGAGAGTGAATGGGCACTGCGTGGTGCAGAATACGGTGCCCAATGACTTTCCGATTGTTTATTGCCCGTCGTGTTGGCAGTATGCAACCACCCCGATGCAGCGAGGTCTGGTGGGTGTCTGCAAAGGGCCCAAGAAGCTCCCGGGGGGGTCTGCGTACACTGTCCGCAAGAGGCTGACATAATGTTTTCATACCGTTTTGCACCCTCTCGTGGCGCTGGGGCCTTCGGAGGCCCCGTCCGCGGAAACCAAGGGCCGTTTTTCCAGGCATTTTGGGGAGGCCCCTGGCGGGGCGGCCGCGGTTCCAAGAGCGCCGAGAGTCGTCCCGTTTTCGAAGCAAGCTGTGGCCCTTCGCCTAGGCTTGGATTCCGTGCTGCTCGCTTTTGGCTTCAGCTCCAGAGAAGAGGCTGAAGAGCTCGGTCGGCAGGCGCTCCTCGATCGAGAGGCTGCCCAGGCCAGGGCGGCGAGGGCCGCGGACCCAGAGGCTGAAGAGTGAGTTTCTGGGGGGTGGGGGGCCCTGTCGGCTGGGCCCGCCCGAGGTGGGTCACAGCCTCGGGCGGGAACAAAAAGTTCTCGTCTGATGGGCGCCCCCGCCCCAATTTTCCTTTCTCCCCTCCTGACCCTCCCCTCTATGGGCGGTGAACCTCCTCCTCCTCCTCCTCCTCCTCCTCCTCCTCCTCCTCCTCCTCCTCCTCCTCCTCCTCCTCCTCCTCCTCCTCACTCCTCCTCACTCCTCCTCCTCCTCCTCCTCCTCCTCCTCCTCCTCCTCCTCCTCCTCCTCCTCCTCCTCCCCCTCCCCCGAGCGCCACCCTCCGAGCTCCCAGGGGGGCCCCACGGGACAGCGAGCCCGCCGCTCTCTCCGGTAGCGCCAGCACCGCAGGCCTCGGGGGCCTCGCTCTCCCAGAGCGGGTGCAGCTCGGGGATGTCGCCGCTATCTGGGCAGGCCCCAGAGATCCGACGCTGCAAAACCAAAATGGGAACGGGCGGTTTGGGGTTGTTTTTTCGACCTCCGGATGCCCTCGCTGGGCTTCGGCACCGTCGGGAAACGTCCCGGGACGAAAACACCGGACCTGCAGGCCTCGGAAGCAATCAGCGAACACTCATGCCACATGCACGTGTCAATGCCCCCCGCACCAATGATCAATGCTGGCGGTGGGTTGGATGAGTTACACTTCGACCGCAATCTTCCCCGCGCGTGCCAACTTGAGGGAGTGTCCACTAACTGTCTCCCTCTCTACCGTGGGGAGTGGCCCAGACCTCGGGGCCCGCGCAGCGAGAAAACAGAAGCAGCCGGATGTCTGGGGTGGCGGCGAGGGCTCTCCGGCAGCGGCGCGACGGCGGACGACTCCTCGGGCCGGACGAGCGAGGGGCGTGGCCCGCAGGGGGTTTGCGAAGCCGCTCGCGCAGCTGGCTTCCCTGGTGCCTCCCAGCGTCGGAGGCGCCAATGTGTGACCAGGAGAGCGCCCGGCGGGCGGGGCCAACGCCAGCTGCGCGCAGCAGGATGTCGTCGTACCCCCCCACCCCCACCCCTTTTCCTTCCCCCTCCTGTTCGTCCGGCCCAAGCTGCGGGAGCAGCTGGCGTCGGGTCGGGAAGCTGGATCGGATCGGAGCGAGCGTCGGTACGGGCCCCGCCGCCTTCTGAGAAGCCCCGCCGCCTTCTGAGAGGGCCTTCTCCGTCTCACTTCCCCCCCTCCCCCGCCCCCCTCGAGCGACGAAGGAATCACGATGGGAGGTTTCTCGCCATTCTCGGCCTCCAGGGGCCCTCGCCGGGCTTCGGGACCGTCGGGGAACGTCCCAGGATGACAAACCAGTCCCGGGGAATAGGTCGAGACCTCGGGAGGTCGACGTGATGAAACAAATCATGACGTCGGGAGTCTGGGTCGCTCGCCGCCGAAAGCCTATTCTGGTGAGCTCATGGGAGGTTCTTGGTTGGTCAAGCGCCCTTGGGCTGGCCAGCGGCGAGCTTCAGACCTTCTCGGACCGTCGCCGTCTTGAGCCGTCTCGGGGTTGTATGGGGAGTCCATTGAGTCATCTGAAGGTCAGCTTGATTCAGTCTTTCGGCCTCTTGGGTACGCCTTGACGCATGTTTGAGCCCATCTTCGGGCCATCTCGGCGGCTGCGGGGCCTGGTCACGGAGGTTGCAGCTTTACGCAGAGTCCGTGACAGGCTCAAGAGGCCTGCAAGAGGCGCGAAGGGACCTCCAAGGACCCCAACCGAGGCCCCAGAACAAACCTCCAGGAACCAGCCATCCTTGGAAACTTGGCACGAAACATCCTGTGAGCACCTTGCGAAATACCCCACAAAACTCTCTAGGAAACGCTTCTCCAGGACCAGGAGGCGGCCTACAATATGGGCCCGTACACAAGAGACCAGCCAAAAGAAACCTAACCCGGAGACCCCAGGACGTCCATGGATTTTTGGTGTGGGAACGACACGCCTTCCATAGCAACAGCATCGACACCCAAGAAACCCAGGGCACCCTGGAGGCGAGCAGGGTGTTTCTTGGCATGGGCCTCCACTGCATCATTTGCAAAAGTCCAGCGGGTCCCAGCCTGACACCAGAGGGATCACCGGCCCCGGCGTATTGCCTTGACAGCATTGGCGGATGGCAGACCTCGGAAGGCGAGAGCCCATCGAGCACAACGTCGGTCTAAGAGGTGCGCCTAGCTGCAGGCTTGTCCAGTGCATCGGCTATCCCTATGGTGGCAGGCTGGGACCCGCTGGACCCCGGGGCCTCCTGGAACAAATCATGTCCAGGAGGTCATGGCATCTCGTGGAGTGGGGGGGTCGTTTTGCTGGGCCGCCCTCTCCTCTCCTCTCCTCCCCCCATGCCTCCCTGCCCTGCTCGCCCGCCTCCCGCCTCCCTCCACCCCCCCTGGCGCCCCTCTTGGCCCCCCCGTCCAAACAAGCGCCTCTAGCGCTCTGTATCTTTATCCTTGCCCGCCGTTCTGAGCAACATTGAGGCGTGCTGCACTTACGTGCTGCAGACTTAACTGAGATATGTTTCGCGAAATATTTCCAGGAGTGCTTCCTTGGGCGTGTCGTGGGGTTTTCGCAGGGCGTTTCGCGCGGAGTCTCATGGGAGGGCTGTTTGTTTTAGGACCTCGCTTGGGGCTCTTGGAGGCCTTGTAACGCCTCTTGGAGGCCTATTAAGGCTGTTACGGAATATGTGCAAAAGTGTGCATTCCGTGACTGGGCCCGGGGGCTTCCAAAATGGCACCAGTACAGCTTAAGAGGGCTTACTTAAGGTGCACCCGAGAAGCCCACCGACAATCCATGATGACCTCGAGATGGCTCAAGGGACTCCCCGTACGACCCCGAGACGGCTCAAGGCAGCCTTAAAGGGCTTAGGAATGCAAAGTCCGTGACCAAGCCCAAAGGCCTCCACGACTGACCCAATACGGCTCAAGAGGGCCTGAGGTGAACCCAAGAGGCCCAAAGACAAATCAAGATGACCTCGAGATGTCTCAAGGGACTCCTCATACGTTCCCGAGACGGCTCAAGACACCCCGAGCAGCTTCAAGGGGTCTCCAAGAGGGCCCCGAAACGGCCCAAGAAGGCGTCAATATTGCAGAATGGAAAATCGCACATTCTTCGAACGAGCCCAGAAGCCTCAACGATGGCTCCAAGACGACCCAAGAAGTCCACAAGGATAACAAGACTGCTCCGAGATAGTCCTAAAGGTGGCCCCGAAGAAACCCCAAATAGGCAAAGCAAATGCTTCCCGAAGCCCCTGAGAAAACGTCCCAAGGGATCCATCCCAAGGGAAAGCCCCAGAAGGGCATGAAGAGGCCAAAATCATTGGTCATCCTGACGTTTTAAGAGGATGTTGGCGTTTGCTCCTTTTCGGCCTTCAACAGCCCAAGACGGCCCAAGAGGCCCCCAAGAGGTCTCCAAGACGGCTCCCGAGGCCCCCAAGAGGGCCTCCAGGAAGGCCCGAAGAGGCCCGAATCGTTGATTATCCGCAAGTGTTTGAAGGATTTGGGCATTTGCTTTTTTCGATCTTCCGACGGCCCGAGGCGGCCCAAGAGCCCCCAAAGATCGCTCCAGGATCGCCCAAGAGCCTCCAAGATGGCCCCTGAACGGCCCGAGAGGCCCCGAAGACGGTCCCAAGAGGGCTCCAAGACGACCCAAGAGGCCGCCCGAGATGGCTTCCAAGATGGCCCTGGAGCACCCCAAGAGGGCCCCGAGTCGGCCCAGAGAGGCCCCCCAAGACGGCTTCCGACGGCCAGGAATGCCCTAAGACGGCCAACGAGTCCCCGGAGAAGCCCCCAAAGGCCCCCTAAGAGGCCCAAGGAAGCCCCCAAGATACCTCCAAAAGGTTCCCAGGAAGCTCCCTGAAGGCCCCAAGAGTGCCCCCAGAGGCTCCCAAGATGCCCCATCCTCCTCCTCCTCCTCCTCCTCCTCCTGCTCCTCCTCCTGATCTTCCCCACCGTCCTCCCCTCATGTGTTCCCCGAAGGGTTTCTACAAGGGCTGGGGGAACACATGGCCCAATAGCTTGGCAGAGCTCTTGCCATAACGCTCGGCCACACTGACGATTTCAAAAGACAGGGGGCGGCGGTGATTCGCCGTTGGCGTCTTCGGTAACCTACATGGTTCGTGTATAAGCACACACACACGAGTCTGTAGCGTCCGTGCTGCATTGAATGGACCCACAATGAACTTAAGGTGCGATTGGGACATAACCTCGACGTCAGAAAACATAAGCCATAAGGGCACGACATACCCTTTGTGCTTCTTCGAAAGACTCGGAAGGCACTATGGCCTCGACACCCCAGACGCTACTTGACCCAGTAGCGTACCGTGTACAGGCCGGTCAACACCCTGGCGCCCCGTGGGATGCAGCAGGCAGCAGGATATGCTAGCACTAGGCGCTCCCTTTGGAAAAGCACGTCCGAACTGAACACACACACACACACACACACACACACACACGTAACAAACACATGAGACAGCATCGCTCCCCAGGCGGTATGGCCAGAACACAGAAAGCACCCGCCACCGAGTATGCACTATAGGAGATCTGAGGGCGCGCGACTGGGATGAGCACGATGTCATGATAGGATTGGTTCAGGATGCGTTCCATGATTTCCATGGTATCTGGCGGCGCTAGCTTCGGCAGCCCGTCTGGGAACCTAAGAACGTATCATGATCATGACCTCTTGCTCCTCTAAGCTTTGCCCTAGGGGGCCTACGCACACGTAGTATTACAGTGAGGACACTGGATAAGGATTCATTGGCCAAGGAACCAAGGGTCTGGAGGTCGGTGGAACTCCAATCGCAGACTGGCGATGGATATCACGACCGCCCCTTACTGGAGAAGGAATCATCCAGGGTCTGAAGCCTCGCGTAGAGGAACAACAACAACGTACACATCATCTCTCGGAGCTCCGCGTGGAGCTCCGAAAGTTTCTGCTTATGCCGTGCTTTCTCCTTCGGCCTTGGGCACATTCCTCAACGGACGCCACCACCGTGTACGTATAAGTATGTAGCACTCCGCAATTGCAGATAAAAGTGAGGGGCTGGTCGAGGGATGTTTCGCGGGTGGGTCGCGGGGTTGGTCGTGGATGGGTCGCTTGGTGGGTCGCTTGGTGGGTCGCGGGTGGGTCGCGACGACAACAAGGAGGCGTTTGCGGCGCCGCCAAGGGGGTGGCGCGAGGGGGGTGGGCGTTCGAGAAGGCGGGAGGCTTCTTCAGAGGAGCAAGAAACGGCATAAAGTTTCGGAACTCCGCGCGGATTTCTCGGATCCGCGCTGGGCCCCCCCTGGAGGCGCCTCCGGCACCGCCCCTGGCGCGCTCCGCGCGCCAGGGAGGGGGGCTCAATGCCGATCCAAGAAATCCGCGCAGAGCTCTGAACGTTTGTGATCGATATGCAACTGTACCGATTCTTAGGAGGAGGGGGCGCTTCGTAGAAGGCGGGGGGCTTCTCAGAGAGGCCCGGCGGCTTCAGCGGCTGCTTCGCTGGAGGGCAGAAAACCCACCCCGATAGTAACCACCCCGACACGCGAGGCCGTTCAGTGAACGCACCCCAAGAAGGAATCAAACAGGGCAGGGCTGTTCAGCGAACGCCCAGGGCCGCTTAGTAAACGCCAATTGTCGGGTCCGGGTGGTTTTTCTTCCCTGGATTCTCGGAAAGCCCGGGGAGGTCTTTTGAGAAGCCCGCCCCGCCTTCTGAGAAGCCCCCCCGCCTGCTCAGAAGGCCACCCCCCTCGCGCCACCCCCCGGTGGGCGCCGCCGAAGACGCCTGGGCACGATCGGCCTGCATTATGCTGCTCCCATCGTACTTCTTAAGGCCCACATCTCAGAAATGATTTCGAGCACCCGGAAAAGTGTCGAGCGAGTGTCGAAACAGTGTCGGACGAGTGTCTCCCAGGGCCCGACACGTGAAAACCCTCGAGTTTTTGTGTACTTCTCTGGTGCTCGAAAATCATTTCTGGTGATCAAGGATAAAGTAGGTTGGAACATCATAAGGCCAGCATCGACTTGGGGGATCGGATTGGATCGGAACGTGCGTCGGATAGGGCCGCATCGGCACGGAATCGGAATCGGATCGGATCGTCGGGCACCATGCCTGACATCAGGAGCCTCCCGGAGTCGGCGGCGACTGCTGCTTCGCAGACGCCACGGCACTGACAAGGGCAGCGACACACGCTCAAAACAAAGAAGCGCTGTCGGCCATAGCATCTAGCGGCCCTCGTTTCTGGAGCCCGTGCGGAACATATCGGGAATCCTGGAAATCCCGAGCGTATTATTTTCATGACTCCTTGCTCCTCTGACCGTTCGCTTCGTTACCACCGTGACCCCCCTTGACTACCAGGCCGGCGGCGGGGTGGTCCAATGTTCCTCAGAAGCAGGGGCTGGCCATCGCGATCTGCCCGTGTCATCGGAGGCTTGGGCCGACGGACATCAGTCGCCCTATCTGAGCCGCCTTGGAGCGCGTGCTAGCCTTAGATCGGGCCTGTCCCCCTACATGGGGATGTGGGACGAACATTTCAAACATAGTCAAACAATGCTCCCACAAAAATTCAAAAATAATTAAAACTAATCGTCCCCAGGCAATTTTTCTACTATCTTTGAATCTTCCTCCTGTAGAGGGACACGCCCGACTTAATGACAGCCAACTTCTCGAGGGGAGCCTCAGGAAGCCCAAGAAGGCGACGGGTGACATCGAGGCCCTCCCCCCCCTTCCCTCTCGAGGCTCTCCACCTCCTCCTCCTCCTCCTCCTCCTCCTCCTCCTCCTCCTCCTACTCCTACTCCCCCTCCCCCCCTTCCCTCTCGAGGGGGGGGGGGGGGAGGCCACCGCTGTACGGCAACCAGGTGTCTCCGGGCGGGCACAAGAACTCCACCCCTGCGGGCGCGCCCGCTGACCGCAGGCGGGGCGGACGAGCGTTCCAAGCATTGGTCAAGCTGGCCCTTCGCCGATCTACAGAGGAGGCCAGTCCGCAAGAAATCTTCCGCAAGAAACCTTCCGCAAGAAACCCAACCCTGAGACCCCAGGACGTCCACTGATTTCTGGCAGGGGGACGTCACGGCTTCCACAGCAAAACCATCGAAGCCCAAGAAACCCAGGGCACCCTGGAGACAAGCAGGGTGTTTCTTGGCACGGACCTCCACTGTAGCATGCGCCGTCGTCGGGGATCGAGGGCCGACATTCGGTACGGCGTTGCTTCTTCTGGGGGCCTGCAGAGGCCGACGGGGACCTCCAGGGGCCTCCGGAGACATGAGGCCTTTGGTGGCACCTGGAAGGAGGCTCGCCTTCCCCAGCCGCGCGTTAAGGTGGACTGCGTACAGGTCCGCACGTGGACGGCGATCCCCACATGGACGGTGAGGAACCCCTCCCGGACAGGGAACTGGACCTCCACACCCAAGCTGTCTATGACACCCGCCCGCGGTGAACGAGGGGGCCAAAGGCGGGCAAAGGCTCGCATATTGCGGGTCCCGGAAACCCTGAGCCCAAACCAAGCATGCCACCCCTTGTGGGTGACTTTCTCGCCTCCGCCAAGGAAGAGATGCCAACTTCTCGATCCTTCGAACGCTTTTTTGGCCGCACAGACATTGCCCACCTCGTTAATTGCCCTCGAAAACGAAGCCCCTCGAATCCTTCGAAAACGAAGTCCTTTCTGGAACGCCCCACGTGGATGAGGAGTTGCACGTTCTGTTTCACGGGTCGTCTTGCGCCTGTTGTCGGCCGATGCGCGCTGTCTCTCGGGATGGCGCAAAGAAAAAACGGAACAAGAGGATGAGTGAGGTTGAGGAGGGGGATGAGGAAACAGACACGGACCAATCGTCGAGCGCCCGATCCCCTTATTACCCCGAGGTTCATACACGGAGTGCTCCAGATATGGCAGAAACAAGCTAGAACATACACATACACACGCACGCACACACACACACACTTGATCTGAGTTCTCTTTGACATTAACCGCCGCTGCGACAACTTACAATCCAGCTGTTGAGACTGGAATCCCGCTTGAACAGTGCCAGCGCTTCCTCACATTTCCCACCTGTCTCGAACGCGCTCACTGTGGCGCTGTAGCTGATGACGTCTGGCTTCAATTTATCTTCCAGCAACTCCCTGAAAAGCACCAGAACCTGCTGCCACTGCCCGAGATTATCGCATGCAGTGATCGCAGTGTTGTAACTGACTCGGGCCTGCCCCTGGATCTACATACTGCCAAATAGCAGAGTGGGCGAAACACCCAGTATTTTCAAGCATTGCCGACAAGACTCAACGGACGTAATACATGGGCCGCGCTTTGAGTGATTAGAACGTTGGGGGAATTGGTTCAAATTTCGGGTTGAATTTTGTTCCGCATCGGACCAGCACTCGTCTGCTTTTCGAACTCTTCTCACTCGTCTGTCCCGTCTGATTATTTCAACTGTTGAGTCTGGCCAAACTCTTGTTGGGACCCTTCTACATCATTTGGGGCAGTGCTGGCTGCAACGCGGATCTTCATTGTGCAATTCAAAAGGAGAGCCGTGCCAGCCACATAGCACGGGCGAGCAGAAAGGCTAGCGATCCAGGAAGCTCAGAAGGTGCTGGCACCGCCTGGCGCCCAGCGTGCGTAGCCGCCGCCCAACGCGGCACAGAAGATGCTGGCAGAGGGACCCCCGCCGCCCTGTCTACTACCTATGACCGACCTACTGACTGACAGTCATGTGGATACATACACACGCACACCGACTATCTAGCACCTACCATCTACTATCCACCGAGCGGTCGGCCTGCTGAATGTATGAACCTTTCTATGTACTGCACGCCTGCGCAGCGTGATCGCTGCCCCACAACTCCTGCCAGGAGTAGATATGACAGAGTCTACTATGTATACTCTATATCCCTTCCTCGCTCTCTCTATTGTCTATACGCTCTCTCTTTCTCTCTCTTTCTTTTTTGTTGTTGTTGTTGTTGTTGGTGTTCTCTCTCTCTCTCTCTCGTCAACTCTGGTCTATCCGCCACTGTGCCTTTGGGCACGGAGTGGGCGTGTCCTCGAGTCCCTTGCTGTAGTCCTCAAGCCTCTGGATTGATCCAGAGAGCCAAATCTCCTGCGGTCTGGGCCGGCTTCTCGCATGACTCCTGGGGCTTCGGCCCAGAGCGCCGGCCACCCGGAAAGCCGCCGAGAATTCATCTCTCATGGGTCGGATCGACTGCAAAGACGGCCCAGATGGCTCAAGATGGCATCCCCAACACCTCCATGACGGCAAAGATGGCCCCAAGAGGGCCCAAGATGCACACAAGACGGCCAAGGATGCACCCAAGACGGTCCAAGATGGCCTCCAAGACAGCACAAGAGGCCTCAAAAAGGTCATCCAGGAGGGCCCGAAGAGTTCCAAATCCTTGATTTTCATTGGATGTTAAACAGATTTTGGCATTTGCTTCAAAACGGCGTCCCGACGGCCCAACACGGCTCAAGAAGCCCCCAAGATTGCCCCAAGATCGCCCAAGAGGCCTCCAAAATGACCCCAAACCGGCCAAAGATGCTCCCAAGACAGCCCCCTGACGGCCCCAAGACTGCCCAAGAGGCCTCCAAAGCGCCGAAGATGGCCTTCAATACGACCCTGAAGCGCCCTAAGAGAGGCCAAAGAGAGGCTCCCAAGACGGCTTTCGACGGCGTCAGACGGACCAGGAACGCCCTAAGACGGCCAAAGAAGCCTCCGAGAAGCCCCCCAAAGCTCCAAAGAGGTCTCCTCATCCTTCTCCTCATCCTCCATGGTCCTCCCTCTCCTCATCCTCCTCTTCCTCCCCCAAATGTTCCCCGAAGGGTTTCAACAACGGCCGGGGAAACGCAGAGTCCAATAAGGCAGGGGGCGGCGGTGATTCGACGTAGGCTGCCCCCGGCCAGAACAGTTCAATCAACAACCCCGCATCAGAAACACTGACCATCGCGGCGTGCACCATGCGCTCAGCTCGCCTGCCCCGAGCCCTGCAGCGCCAAGCGTACTAGAACATGCAAGCCAACTCATGCTCAAACCTTGCTGCCGATGGCAACAGCGTGATGGTGCCGCGAGACTGCGCACGGAACGCTCGTTCTGGTGCCGCGCAGACTTGCGGCGTCTCCGCGTTGCGCCCACCCGTGCTCCGAGACGACCAAACCCCGAGGTCCCGCGCGAGGCTCGCGCGAGCCTGCGCAACTCCCGCAGGAGCGCGGGGCGAACCCTAAATGACCTCAGAACGGCCCCAACGGAGCCCCGTGTGGGCCCGCGGAACCGCGCGCGAACTCCGCAAGAGCCAAAGGCAAAATCGCCGCCGAAACTCCGTGACCAGGGCGCAGGAAAAAACGTGTCGTAAACGATTCGGGTATTGGCGAACATCCAAGAGAACCACTGTTACGTCAACAGATACACAGGTAAACGCACCAAACAAAGAGAGCAAGCAATCTAAACACCGCCCTGCCCCCCGCATGTGAGTCCCGTGCGATCCCCGCCAACCCCGCGCGGGGCTTGCCTGGGGCTCGCGCGGGGCTCGGGGCTCGCGCGAGCCCTGCAAGGCTCGCGCGGCCGCAGCCCTGCCCCTGCGCGAGCACATGCGAATGCCGGCGCGGGCTCCGACGAGCTCGCGCGGGGCTCGCGCGGAAACCGAACGGGGTGCGCGCGAAGCCTGCGCGGGGCCTGCGCTCGGCTCGCGCTGAGCCCCTCGCGCGGGGGCCGCGCGGAGCGCAGGCGGGCCTCGGGGGCTGCCGACGCCGCGCGGGGCCGATGGGCAGCGCGATCGATCGCGCAGTGGAGCGGCCGACGCAGCCTGCGCAATAGACGCGCATGTGGCGATGATCGGCTTGCTCGAGCTGCAAAGGTGGTTTTCTGGGAGAGGCTGTGGAATGCGAAGCCGGACGGGCGTTGATGTGAGCGGGGGTGGGGCCCCCGGGCCGATCCAGACCCCCGGCTCTGCGGAAACTGCCCTTTGCCAACTGGCCTCGCCAAAGCAGACGGCCCCGCCTGGCCGGCGGTCGGCTCCCGGCACCTCTCCCTCGGACGGCCAACGAGACCCCTCAAAACGGCCCAGGCACCTCTGACAGCACCGCGCCCCCCCAGCGATGGCCCCGCGATCCCGCGCGACATCTCCCACGTCGGGTGCTGTCAGAAGTGGTCCTGGCTCAAGGTTGATTAACAAGAAAATTGTCCCTAATCCATTGGGAGGGGACCTAAATTAGGAAGCCCGAGAACATTAGGGACAGGGGGTCTTTTCTGCAGATGCATCGAGCCAAACCGCCCAGATTCATTATCTCCCCAATGCAAAGACGGGGACCTCAGTGAGGCCACGTCTTCACTGTTTTACTAGGGTTAGGGGTTCGTATATTCTCGATACAAGGTGCCCCGAGCTTTTCGTACTACTTTCTCCCCCACGGCATGACCCCTCGGTCGGAAGAAGTATATAGAAATATGAAGTTGGGAGGCTTTGACCATAGATTGAGTGTCCGCCCGCCCCCTAAAGAGGACGGAAAAAAGGTGAAGCCACTCGATCATTGAAGTAGGAATCTGGGAATCCAAAAATGAAGACTTTCAACGACCGATGGGTGCCCCATGCCCAGACGATGCTTAGTCGCCCTGGGGGCGCACCAACCCCTCAGTACGGTGAACGAGGCCCGTCACTATGAAACCATATGCTCATGTGTGGGGCAGCTCCGGGATCAAGGACCCTGATTGAGAGCAGCCTGGACAGCTAGGTTGCGGCGGCAGTGCATGCAACAACTCTGCGCGCCATCGTCGCTCGCGCGCCTCCTCCTCCTCCTCCTCCTCCTCCTCCTCCTCCTCCTCCTCCTCCTCCTCCTCCTCCTCCTCCTCTTCGATCCCGACCTCCTCCTGCATCCTTCGCCCATCGTGGAGCCCCTGGGGCCCTCTGGGCCTCGTGAGGGGCGCTCTGGAGGCCGTCTGGGCCTCCCCGGGAAGCCTGGGGACACCTTTGGCCAAAGACACCTTTAGCAGCACCTGGAACGAATGCACCCGGGAAAGAGAGCACCCCAGGGGGACAAATCGGAAGAGCCCCAGGAGGCATGTGGGATAAAAGCGATGCTGAGAGCCAGCAGTGCTTGACACCGTCTCCAGGCAAGACCACTCGCCACCGAATCGGCAAATCGGATCGGATCGGAACGTGCGTCGGATCGGCCGCGCCAGGATGCACAGCAACGCCATGCAACCATCGGGCTGCATCCGATCGTCGGAACATCGGGATCGGATCTGCCTGGGCTGGCCGAAGTCGGCGTCGAATCGAAATGCACCGTCGACCCCCTAGCGGCCATCCAGTCTCCTTCGCGGAGTGGACGGCGCCTCGGTCCAAGATGGCCCAAGACTGTCCAAGACGACAAGGGGCCAACATCGGAGCGGGAGGCTGGATCGAAATCGGCGCCCCGTCGAATCTTCAGAACTCAGAGCCACGTGAGCTACGGCCCTGTGTGTCTGGGGTCTTGAATCGGAATCGCACTGGCAACCTGCTCTGGGGTGATGTCGTGTGGGCTCGGCTCGGACTACCAGGCTGCCAAGAGCTGCCACCAGCGCAGCCGCGGGACTGCCAAAAGACTGTCCCAAAGGTCACCGCAAGACCCGCGCAGGACAGCCCCGGCACTTCGCGCGCCACGGCCTCTGGGCCACCCGAACAGTCACGGGACCCCACCCACGCTGTAGTGGAGGCCCGTCCACAAGAGATCCTCTACACGAAACCCAACCCTGAGACCCCAAGACGCCCATTCTTGGTCTGGGAACGCCACGATTTCCATTGCAAAACCATCGGAACCTAAGAAACCCAGGGCACCCTGGAGGCGAGCAAGGTGTTTCTTGGCATGGGCCCCCACTGTACCACCTTCTCCTCCTCCCCGGTTCCGAGTGTGATAAGGTCGGGCTCCAGCTTCGCCTTTCGAATCTTGCTGAGCAGCGACAGTGCCTGTCGCCATTGCCAACCTTTTTCGCACGCGCTGATTCCAGCGTTGTAGCTGAGCAGGGTGGACGGGAGGATGAGGAGGATGAGGGCCAGAGGGAGGAGTACGAAAAAAGCAGAAGGAGGAGGGGGGAGAGGAAGAAGTAACAATGCTGGAGGAGGAATGAGGAAGAGGCAGGAGGGGGAAAGGAGGCAAGAGGACGGACGCGGGACCAGGAGAGATGATGAAGGAGGAGGGATGACATCGGAGGGCGGAAGGGGTGAGATGGAGAGGGCCAAAGGGATGACAGTGGGGGACGGGCTGATGATGATGGCGCCTCTTCTTTCCAAACGAGGGCACGTGCTCCAACGCTTCATGCAAACTTGGACCCGACATTACTACCCCAAGCGAGGCATCACGCCTATTCGTGGTGCATCGCGACGATTCCCGACTGCTCGTGGGGGCCTGGGGCCAAAGCACCCCCGGAGCGGGGACTGCGCGTGGGACACTTGACACTCGGGTTCATCGGACTCGTGGATACGTGGCTCGTCACCGCCTGCGCCTCACGACCCCTGCCCCCGCGTAGGGTCATGGGGCCCGTGGCCCGCCGAGCATAGTGCTGACATGCGCGTGTGGCACCTCCCTCTGCACGCAACGAAAATACATACGCAGACACCCGCCGACGAACTTTGCATGTACCTTCAGGGAGGGGGCGGTGTATAAAGCCGCTGGCTCTCAATGGCAATTTATGCACCGCCACCCTCCCCTGAGGCCCAGGAGCAATCCAGAGGAGGGTGCCTGTGTATATTTTCTGTGGCGGACCCTGGAACGCAAAACTGCCACTCCAACACGCAATCCCGACACGTCGTGTCAATACAGGAGGCTGATCGACGAGCTGGCATACCAAAACACTGGCGCACCTGGTCATAGAGAGGCCAGACGCTGAAAAGACATGTGGTCACGTACTCCCACAGCCCCCACGACGCCGCTTTAAACTGGGAGGGAAAGGGGATTAATGCTGAAATATGCGTGCGAAGAACAACCCAAATTGATGCAACAATTTACCGATGTGCGGTATGAACGGGGATACAATCGCGGGATGCACCAACAAATGCCCGACCGCGCTTCTCGCTGGCACCGCGCCAACGACTGGACTGCATTGACCACGTCTGGCTTCAACTTCACGCCCTCCCCTTCCATGAGCAAAGACAACGCGTGCTGCCATCGCCCACCCTTCTCGCACGCGCTGATTCCAGCATTGTAGCTGACTAGCTTGTACGCGTGGAGCAAATCCGCAGGTGCCCTGGCAAGGGAACGCGGCGGGGCCATCTCTAAGCTATCTTTTGGGTCGTGTTGGGCGCCTCTTGGGCCGTCTTAGCGTTTTCCTCGAACCATCGTGTAACTCTCTTGGGCCGTCTTGCAACCTTGCAAGAGGTTCTGGGAGCAGCCGGAGGACCTCGAAAATTGCCCCAAGAGGGGCTCAAGAGGGCCCGCAGACGGCCCCAAGAGGGCCCCCAGAAAACACCCGACGGATGCTACAAGGGAATGCGTTGTAGCATCCGTTGGGGGGCCTCTTCGGGCTTTCTGGGAGCGCTCTTGGGGCCGTCTTGGGATGTACCTGGGGCTCTAGTTGGCCATCTTGGGTTGTCTCAGGCGCCTCTTGGGCCGCCTTCGGGCTCTCTTGTGCCGTCTTAAGGTCCTCTCGAGCAGCGTTGGGATTCTCTTGAGGGCCTCTTGGGCCGGCTTGGTGCGATCTTGAAAACTATTGGGCCGTCGTGGGCGCTGCAAGGGCCCCAACACCGTATATGTATACGAAAAATGTTTTGAAACCCCTACAAGGAACCTTCAATGTTTGCACTTGGAGGCCGCGCTGGGAGTGCTCTTTAAGCGCTCTGGGGACCTTTTGGAACGATTTGCGGCCGTCTGGATTACGGAGCGGAAAAACACCAAGCTTTTTAACTTACACTTTTTCAATGGCCCTTGGGTTGGATCCGTCTCCAGATTGCTTGATCCGAAGACCATCGCCTTGTTCACTGACGCCTCGCCCGTCGCCTCCAGGGTGTGCATCGTCTATGCGTTCGCTCGGACGGGGGTCGGGATTGGGCAAATGATGTTTCAATGTTTGAGCCCTGTAAACTTCTCCTGGGCGAGGGCCGTGCAACCTTTTTCCGCTGCCTCATTTTGCAGGCCCTGTGAGCTCTTTTGGGAGCAATGTGCTGTGCGTCCTGGTCACGCCAAACTTCTTCGGGCCCCTGCCCCGAGGGCCCCTGGGGCGATGCCTGGCCGGGCCTGGGCGGGGGCGACACCCTCGGTGAAGGAGCGGGGGACCCCGCGACAGTCGGCCCGCGGGCCTTCTGGGCCTTCTGGCCACATTCAATCCCGTGGAGCGTGGCCGAAGACCCGCTGCACGGGCGGAGCAGAGGCCGCGCCGAGGGCAGGCGGACCGAAGCAGGGAGGTTCAGGGCGAAGGCTCCTGCCTGGCCCCCAAGAATTTGCCCTTGCGTGTTTTTTCCTGTCCTGGTGGGTGCCGTCTCGGGCTTATCCTAGGGCCCTTCAGAGGCCGCCTGGACGCCATCGTGGGCCAGTGCTTCGTGGGCGACCCGGACTCGATGTTGAGTCGGCTGTGTTGGGAAGAACGCAATCTCTCTCTCTCTCTCTCTCTTCGTCCTCCGTCGGGATCTCTGCACCGAGGGCAGCTTCTTAGACAACACGCCAACAACCTGGCGAAGGCTGGTGACCTGAATGACCTGGATACTCAATCGATCCTTCATTCATGTGGATTTCGATCGAACGGGGCTTGCGCCAAAGACATTGGTTGTCCGTTGAGTGCGTTGCAAAACCAAACGCCTGGTCACCACACTTACAAGTGATTCACCGTTACGAGCTCAATCTTCGCGAACGCTGTGCTCCACACCGCGGCGAAAGAAATTACACGTCAGCGAAGATATCGATGCCGATATGAAGCTTGCAACACAATGAGCTGGGTGTACGAAGCGAAATAACTGTTCCCCAATCTGCGCAATCGAAAAAGGTACGGCAAGGCTCTTCCTGAGACGAACAGTGAGCAAGCTTTAAGCGGCAGCGATATTGTGAGCAAGTGGACGCTGAGATGGTTCGATGCACCTTACAGGTCCTCCGTCGTCACATGGACGAGACTGTAAGACAGATGCCGTCTAAATGAAGCGTGTGGCAAGACTAACGTGGCTCTCCCGTGCTTTACTTGCTTCTCCTTGATTGGTTACCACGTTGTTTTGCTTGGCTCCGATGTGTGCTGACTGTCTTAGCTGTCGCTTGCCACGCGTTGCTCGGAACTGGTCTGCGCAACCCTTAACGTGCACCACTCTTTGTTGTGCGTGCTGGCCCCTGGCTGATACAATATGGAATGGATGTGCCGTAGCTTTGCATGCTTAGCTTTGTGCTTCGCCTTCGTGGGAGGCACGCTTCTGGACAGCTCTCACTCCCTAGAACTCTAAGGCCCGACGAAAGTGCCATCCACCAATCAGGCCAAGTGCATACGAACCATTCTGCAGGGTCGCTGTCCAGAAAGGGTTATTCTTAACATCGCCGAAATCAACCCTTCTCTGCACAACGTTGGGCAGGGGCGGGCTCAAGAAATAAATGCGGGCGAAAAGCGAATGGCGTTCCCGAAGCCGGCGGCGGCCCCCAAGATAGTTCAGTTCGCAAAACAATACGCGTTCCCAAATTCAAATTCGCCAGAAGGAGCGCGACCAAAACATGCACACACAACACACATATATACATAGGTATATAACTATGTAATACGTGATATGTGTATATATATACATACAGATATACAAAGGCAGCAACAACGTAGGGGAGCAACCCAATCAGAGCCCAGCCGGAAAACAATCAGAACCCGATCGGGGCTCAATCGGAGCCCAATCGGAACGCGTTCGGAGCCTAAACGGAACGCAATCAAAACCAAATCGGAGCCCCATCGGACCGTAATCGGAGCGTAATAGCAGCAATGGGTAAAGAGGAAGCATGGCTGAAATTCGTATTGTAAACAACAAAGTCTGTCACTCCATTCTGAACGTCGGAATGGGGTCCTACATGACAGTGAAACGCAAGAGTGGCACGTGTCACCTTCAGAACTGCGTTGGAACATCTAGCTGTTTCACCTGTATTCTGAGCGTAAGCGCGGGGTCATACAATATTAGAAAATACAGTGGTGACGCGTGCCACCCCGAAAATCGTGCAAGACAAACCAAGTGGGCACTTGTATTCTAAGCGTCAACATGGGGTCACACATGGTAAGGGACAAAAGGGGCTACACGCATCACCGCGAACGCCGTATTATAGAAACCACTTGCTTCACATGTTTTCTGGACCATACGCTGTAGAGGGTCACAAATGCGACACGTGTAAATCCGAAACCACTGGAGCAAAATAGCATATGTTTCACTTGTATTATGGGCGTCCGCATGGGATCATGATGTATTATGACAGAAGCACAAGGGTGACACGCGCCACCTCGAAAGTGAACGTTCTCATATTCGGCGTTTCGGCCTTGGGCGGCAAGGTAGGAAGTGAGGGGGCGGGTCTGGCTCTTGACCTCTGCTTAATGCGACTGCTTGCAACAGTGCGTCCTATAGGGGAGACCCCACCTGCTTGAAACAGGCGCCAAAAAAAGCCAAGATCTACTCCATGGGGGGGGGAGGGGTGCGAGGGCCCGCGCCGATCGGCAAAACAATGAAGAAGAAAACGATCACAAGCTCGTGGGAGAAAAAATAATTGCTTCAGTGCGTTCACAATATCAACATGGGGTCATACAGCCCAACAAGGCACAATGGTGCACAATGGTGGCACGACGTGTCAGCCCGACAACCGTTTGAAAAACACATATTTGCATGTGCATGCTGAAAATCCACTTGTGGTCCTACAAGGTTAGGAAACACAAGGGTTACACATGTCACCCCGAAACCGGATTGCGAAACAACCAGCTCCTTGCAAAAGAGAAACGCACGGGTGGCACGCGTCACCACGAACACCGCGTGAGGACACACCAACGGTTTCACTTGCATTCTGAGCGTCGTCGTCGTGCGATAAGGCGTGTTCGGAATGTACAAAAAATAAAAAGACGTGTGCCACTCTCCGAAACGCGTGTGCAAACAGCATGTGTGCCATGTGTAGCGTGAGCGTAAACATGATATCATACATGTTAATGCAACACAGGCGTGACACGTGTCCCCCTCAAACTCGTGTGGGCAAGCGAAGCCATTTCGCTTGCATTCTCCACGGGGTCGCGTTTGGCAGTGAGCCCCGCAGGTCCGAATCAGATCATGATAACCTTATCACCCCAGGGCGGTAAAGCCAACATGGTTGCGTCACATATCGCTGCTGCTGCAACACATTCATTTCACCCTACCCAATAGCTTCAAAAGGGGTGAAACTTAGATGTGCTGCACGTTCTGAACGTAAACGGATGGCCGTACATGGCAACCGCAACACGAACGTGACACGTGCCACCGCGGAAATCGCGTGTGAAAAAACGGAAGACGTGTAATCTCAGCACTGGCACGGGGTCAGACATTGCAGGAATCAAGGCGGCCCGAGCCCCCCCCCCCACCCCCCACCCACCACGCCACGTTCTATGTCTGCAACGCCTCTTTCCAGAGCCTGTGACCCGACGACCGTCGTCAGCTGCATGTGCCTCAAGAGAGGCCCCTGGCAACTTGCGAACAGTGCAGCCGCCGAGGGCCGCCGAGGGCCAGGGAAACGCACAATTATAAAATCAAACGCTGTGTTGAATAACCGCCCGCAGCTTTTCACAAAAACTGCCGCGCACGAAGTTGCCTGGGACTTTGCTCAAATCGCGCCATCGCGCACATGCAACGGCGCAATTATATAAACGCAGGAGCGCGTTTATATAATACGCAAAAGAGGCCTTACCAAAACGAAGAGGGGTTTACCAAGATATTGTAAAACCAGAAACGTCGTGATTTGCAATCGTCGCCGTGGGGGCGTTTCAAGCAACTAAGTCCACAAACATGCCTGACACCTGGTCAAAAAAACCTATTTTAAGTGTGGAAGGGGGTTGATCTCTCTCGAAGCAAGGCGCAAAAGTGGCACGTGCCACAACGAAAACACGTGTGAGAAAAACCATCTGTTTCACATGAGTTCTAATCATCATCGTGGGGTCATACACTGCAACGACGCAGAAGAGCAACACGTGTCGC